CAAGGAGGAAGCGCACAAAGAAGGGCCTCAGAAGATGATCTCAGGGTCTGGGTAGGTTTGTATGGAAAGAGGCGGTCCTTGAGGTATTGCGGTCCTGAGCCGTTTAAGGTTTTATAGGTCAAAACCAGCACTTTGAATTCTTATGTTAAGGATGTGCTGTACAGAGAGCATGGGACTAGTGTGCACAAAATAGGAGTCACCACCTGGTGGAAGGGAAACAGTTCAGCGGTAGGATACATGTCATACATGCAGAAGGTCCCTTTGATACCAATAAAGAAGATCCAATAAAGAAGATCAGGTAGATAGAAGGTGATATGAAAGATCTCTGTCCATGTCTCTGGAAAGCAGCTGTCAGTCAGTAGATAATACTGGCCTGAATATTGTTAAGAGTCAACAATAGTGAGCTAAATTATTGTTGTACCTGATATGAGGTAGCTTCCTTTGTTCCTATTTGCACATAACAGAGTGGCTGGGACAACCAAGTTAGATGGGTGGGGTACAAGGAATAAAATTATTATTATGAGTTTTAAAAAAGGAACTAGTATTTTGAAAGCCCACATTCCACTGACATCCTTTGCCTCTTGTCTAGATGCCCCATTGATTGAAGAAGTTATTTTGAAGCTCAAAATGATCAAGAGCTGTTAATAAACAAGTACATTGTCCAAGCATGACATTTTTGTCAGGGCTGTTATAGGGCACCAGGGCCCTTCTGTCAGTTTTTATCCTTCGCTGAAAGCTTCATTTGGTTGCTAGCGTTGCTCAAGAGACACCCGAGGCTACGTCAACTTGGTTATGTTATGGACTAGGCATGCTGCTGTGGTATGTAAGAAGCCACAAATCTTGTCAATCAAATCAAGATCTAAAGGAGTTAACTGACGGTGCTTTCAGATCTCCATTGTGTCAGGAGAGAAACATTCTTTAGACACATTTAGAATGGTTGCCTCACCACAACCATCCATGTGTCACCACTTACTCCTCCTCCTCCCTCCTCTTCCTTGGCTGTGGCATTGTTAGTGAACACATCTAATGTGTTCCCTGACGTGCGCAAGGAATCAAACACTAATGCACTGCAGTGTAGTCCCTTCAATAGCTTACAATTTACGAGACTCCCATAAGTAAATGAAAGTGTTTGCATGCTCAAAGGTAAGGAAAGATTTTTATTGCCCTTTCTCAACTAAAGTTGGGCAAAACAGGAAAAAAATGTTGCATGAGTAGGAGGAATCAACATCAATGTGATTTGTCCTCTTGTATGGAATACAATACAGTGGTACCTCGGGTTACATACGCTTCAGGTTACAAACTCCACTAACCCAGAAATAGTACCTTGGGTTAAGAACTTTGCTCCAGGATGAGAACAGAAATCGTGCTCCAGCGACACAGCGGCAGCAGGAGGCCCCATTAGCTAAAGTGGTGCCTCAGGTTAAGAACAGTTTCAGGTTAAGAACTGACCTCCGGAATGAATTAAGTACTTAACCTGAGGTACCACTGTACATTTTATTGCACAATTGTAAATCAGTGCCTCATTCTTTTTAGCATGGGCGAAGACAGCCACATTTATTTACGCTCTGCTGCACATCTTAAGGTCATTGGAAGATAATGATATATCTTTACATCTATATTTCATGTTTGGATAAACCAAAACACACAAATAAACCTGACCAGATTGGAGTACAGATAACTGTTTGCTATTCAGTGAAAAAAAAAGGTCACGCTGAGCTTTTTCTCTCAAAATGTGAGACACCAGCATCTTCACCCTATAATTGCTGTCCTTCAGAAGTTCATGATGCCCAGAGCTTTAAATCTGATATCCGAGACAAGGTCGTTATTATAAAGTTATTTACAAATTTCAGATTAATAATAGTGGGTTCAAGAGATGCAATGATAAAAGATTAACGCTATCCACGTCAAAGCTCTTTTTTGGAATCATAAAGTCATTGAATCTGAAAACAAAAGGTGATCTATGAATGTCTTCTCTTCACACAGAACTTGAATATTTGCAGTTTGACCTCCAGCTTTTCTAATTCTTTTATTTTTTCCACACCCTCAGCCTCCATACTTGTCAAACACCTGTGGTCCTGACCCACTGTCAACAGCCCCAGGCCCTCTCCCCAAAAAGAGCCTAATTCGGAATCAATGATTGTACACTGAAATCAACACACAAGTGGGGGCCAGGACTGTCCTCACTATCCCCACCTGCTGTTGCACTTGCATGGTGGTTTGCCTCGCCTGTTTACACCATTGTGTTCTGCACAGAACTCCAGATCACATGGATGCCTTTGCACGTACATGTGAAAACTTCCTTACTGCAGATGTATGTAATGAACACATGGATGTCAGAGCGTGGGACAAGGCAGTGTGTGCAATGTTGTGTGCAGGCCCCAACTCACGTGTTGATTCAGTGTGTCATAGCATATTCATCGTATGCATTTGCTAGGCCAGTGGCTCATGAACCTAATTAGACTGGTCAGGCCTCATCAACTGACCCATGAGGTCATTTTAGCCAAGCCATGCCCACCTTCCCTACACCTGATGCCATAAAGGTAAAGGTATCCCTGCCCATACGGGCCAGTCGTGACCGACTCTGGGGTTGCGTGCTCATCTCGCTTAAGAGGCTGGGAGCCAGCGCTGTCCAAAGACACTTCTGGGTCATACCATTTACCTTCCCGCTATAAAGCGATACCTATTTATCTACTTGCACTTAGGGGTGCTTTCGAACTGCTAGGTGGGCAGGAGCTGGGACCAAACAACGGGAGCTCACCCCACCGCGGGGATTCGAACCGCTGACCATACGATCCGCAAGCCCTAGGCACTGAGGTTTTACCCACAGCACCACCCTTACACCTGATGCCATACATGATGTCAAATGTGGGACAGGCAAAGGCGGGTTTGGGACAAAAGGGTTTGCAGGTACCGCCAATCAGTTAATTAGTAGCACCTGCATAGGGTTGTCATATTTGGAATACTGCAGTCGGCAGCAGTGTCCTGGCGGAAATCAGGAAAATGTCCAGGAAACTCCGGATGTATGGCAGCCCATGTTGGCAGTGCCATTTTTGCCCCTTTCCCTTAAAAATACCTCAAAAATGGCAAAAACTTTTCCGTCTGGATTTTCACAGTTCGCAATATGGCAACCCTACATCTGCATTGTGTGTGGCGCTTTGAAGTCAGCTGATAGTTGGGGTTCAAATTGCCATGCCTAAACTGTTTCATTTCAAACAATGCAGGTGAGATTGGGTCACTTGGCGCCATTGTGATCTCAGGGGGTTGACAGGTGGGTGGCCCATGAGAAGAGAGAAGGATCCAGTCAGCAGGCCAGAGCCAGGTTCCTATCTCCTTGCTAGTCCATGGGTTGCTTGAAAGAAGCAAGAGGTAACCTATCCAATGCAGCTGCAATCTTTAGGAAGACCACCCCTTCCCAATTAGTAGTGTGGTGTAGGGGTAAGCCGAAACACTTTTCAAGTCTAATTGCTGGTGGGTGGGAGAGTGTGCATGTGTGATGTCCACAACAATTTCTCCTGACTATGGACCAGAAAAGCTGGTGATCCTTGCACTAGGTCAGGCATCTCCAACCTTCGGCCCTCCAGATGTTTTGGACTACAATTCCCATCACCCCTGACCACTGGTCCTGTTAGCTAGGGATCATGGGAGTTGTAGGCCAAAACATCTGGAGGGCCGCAGGTTGGGGGTGCCTGCACTAGGTACTATAAAGTAAGTAATGTAGGTAAGTAAAGTACGGTAGTCATGCTGGGATAGCTCAGTTGGTAGAACAGGAGACTCTTACTGTCAGGGTCATGGGTTCGAGCCCTGTGTTGGCCAAAAGATTCCTGCATTGCAGGGAGTTGGACTAGATGACTCTTGTGGTCCCTTCCAACTCTGCAATTCGATGGGTCTATGAAAATGTTTCTTCCTACTTCATTTACCCAGGGAGTACAAATTCATAATCATAAAAAGGCAGTGACAAGTTTGTTAACATATATCATAGAAGCATATTGGTGAAAGACTTCAAAAATCTAGCTTCGGGCAGGAAATAAGGCCATCCACTTAGCAGTCTTCTGCAGAATAATCTATATGGGATCTAAAAGTGGAGGTGGTGGTGATGGTGGCGGAGAATTGGTGAACTCAGAATGTTGCCTGCACAATCAAGAGATACAAATAACTCAAGCAAGTGAGCCAAGTCACCTGCCATGGTGGAAAACAAGCAGCAAAAAGTCTGAAAAACAAAACAATGCAGCCTTCAGTTATTGAGGAAAGCGTGTTCTGCTTGTGCACAACCAAGATAACTAATGTAAAGCTTTAATTCGATTGTAATAGTTAAGCTGCTGCATGGGGGGGGGGATGCTTGCTTTTAGGTGAAAAATTCTAGCTTAATAACAGTTCTACTTTATTTTTCATTGTTTCCAAAAGGAAGGAAATAAAACGTTCCAATAACTGGTGTCCTCTCATCTGATTTCATAGCTTTCACAGCAAGACTCGCTTAAACTTTCACAGCAAGTTTATGTTGATGTTGCAGTGTGAGTAACTGATGACGTTGAAAGTTAGGCTACGGGATTGTTCCCTGTGTTGCGATTTGTACTTAAAATCAATTTTTAGTGTTACAATAGTCAGCAGGACACCTGTGTAGCTTTTCCTTTTCCTGACTTGAATAGGTTGGATTTAATGAAGTTGAGCGCGCTGGTAAAAGTTTTCTAGAGCTTGGCATTTATTTTATTAGCTGTTTGTAACTCACTCACAAATGTGACCGTTTTTAGTCATCCGTGGGCTCATTAACATTTAGAGCTGATCATTAATTAATTAACCCAATGACATAATTTCTTTATAATGCATTTTTCTCCAACCCTAAGCTAAGATTCCCTAAAAGTCAAACTCTTTTGAAGTTGCCCAGGTTACTGTATTTTGCCCTCAACTTTTCTTTTCTTTCAATGCCCCATTAACAAAAGCACATGATGGGTGGTACATGAGGGTCAGGGGGTGTGTTTGGAGTGACATCAACTGAGACAATAAAAGAGCTCCTTAGTTACTTAGAAGTCTTCTAGACCAATTAAGCAGATTTTAAATCAACTTCTGCGGAAAACCTGCTTGAGAAACTTTGGTAAGAACTTTTTCTATTTTCTTTTGAAAGCAATTACTTGTAGCAAAATCAAAATTGATTGTTTCATCCATTATTGGAATGTCAACAGAGGCTTTTGACTGCCAGTCTAAATTGTTTCTTTAACCAGCAGCTTCTGAAATCTGTCAGGGAGACTTTTGCTAGGATGCAAACCTATTGACTAGTTCAATAATCATGTAAATCATGTGGAACTGTTTGGGTGATAGTCATATAAGATGTAACTATAGCTATTCTTATGCCACAGTGGTAAAAAATAATATGCATCATGGGTATTGCTTTTAAAAAACACATTGAAAAGTTTAATTAAAGTTATTAGGCATCTTACTGCTGTTTCTTTTTTCTTAGTATAACTCTCGAAATGTAAAGCTAGACTTGAAATTGGGCTCAGATTGTTTTCTTTCTGCTCCTTGCATCAGCAGCAGTAATACTGATCACTGCAGAGATTTTCACAGCGCTCTGTCAGTGAAACATCCAATCATCGTGATGGGTTTATGCCGGCATGTAGCTTGAGCACCAGATTTTCTGTGCCTATAAACTTTATGGAGCAAAGCAAAAGGAAATGTGATTTCCTTTCCATAAGGAAGGTAGAGAAAAGAAAGAGTTTGCTGCAATTTTATCTATGTCACAATGAATCTCTGAGTGAGGGGGAGTTTATGGCATAAGCAAGCCAGAATCAGGTTAGAAACAAGCCTTTCTTTTGTCTGTGATGCCATTTGACAAGAAACAGGCAAGCTAATATCACTAGGTACAACCCAGTGCTATTTTATGGCCCATTGATTCATCAACATGCTTAAATCCCTACTATTAAAATCAGTGGGACTTGACAGGGCTTAACCTTAGCTTAATGGGATCAAGGGACACAATGCTATTAAGACCTAAATTAACGCAAATTGACAGAGAATTTAGTCTGGGTAGATATATGTAGAATTCAGCATGTGATTTGTGTGGCTCTCCCATCTTGAGTCTCCCTCCCCGGCTACCTGGACTGGAATGTCTCAGTGTCGTCTCCTTCCATGTACTCTTATCATACACCAGGGAATACGCCAAAATTGAGTTAAGCAGGGGTGTAATGTGTTGGTGCAATATATATATTCTCTCACTCTTTGGTGAGAGAATCCCAGCAGAGTATTAAAGTCACAAAATATGCAGCAAAGTGAAGCATGGAAATGTAGGCTGTTAGGTCTTTAAAATATCCCTTTAAAGTTTAAAGTGAGTTTCAAAATGCATGGGAGTAGCATGGGCAGGGCAAGAGGGGCCATTGCCCTGGGCTCATTTATTTATTTTTGGACGGCTCATTTTGCCCCTTATGCCAGACAGATGATCCTCAGGTGCAGAGCAATCATATGTTTTAAGCATCTCCGTGTACAGTCGTACCTTGGAAGTTGAACAAAATCTGTTCCGGAAGTCCGTTCGACTTCTAAAATGTTTGGAAACTAAGGTGCGGCTTCTGATTGGCTGCAGGAAACTCCTGCAGCCAATCGGAAGCCACATAAGCCACATTGGACATTCGGGTTCCAAAGAACATTTGCAAACCGGAACACTTACTTTGCGGCGTTCGGGAGCCAAAATGTTTGAGTCGCAAGGTGTTCGTCAACCAAGGTATATGACTTTAATCATGCAGGTGTTTTCAACAGAATCAGTAAAGTATTGTGCATTTTCAAGCCCTCGTGCTTGTTGTGTCAAGATCCATCAAGGGCAAGACCACTAAAATCCTCTTCATATATTTTTAAACAGGCATTCCGGTGTAAAAATATCACTGTAACAAAATATTATTTGAGTTGGGGTACAATCCCACTGCATTCAGTTCCTGCTTGTGGGCTTCCTATGGGCTGCTGGTTGGCCGCTGTGAGAATGCTGGACTAGATGGGCCATTGGGCTGATCCAGCAGGCTCTTGTTATGTTTGTATGTTCATTGCCCATGCAGTATTTTTCATTTTATAGAGGGTGGCTAATGAAGCAAAGGGCACTCCCCTTATATGGCTGGCATATGAATATGATGGAGAATTATTTTCACTGGACAAATCTCGTAATGGCTGGTTGCAATACCTCAAGTGGCTGTATGGAATAGACAAATCACATTTATTTTAATAAACACCAATGTTCTGTACTGTTCTCTTCAGTCTAATCTGAGGAAACTGTAAGGGAGAGAAACTAATAGGCTTAGCCAAGGTGTTACAAAAAGTGTGTGGGGAAGTGAAGTTGTCCCCCAGTTTGGTCCTTTGTTCAAATAAGAAAAATACACTACCGTTACACAGTCTTTTGCCTGAACATCACCTTCTTGAATGCTTTGATATTTATGTATAGCATTCTATTTAATATCTCATATTATCTAATTCAATCCAACCATATGATAACTTTCTTTCATCTCTTATAGTTATCATGACTTCAATCAGAGACATGGCTAAAAGTGCAATCATTTTATGGGCAGTCTGCTTCTTTGCCAACTCCAATGGGAAAGCTGTGGTGTAAGTACAGTATATTGCTGAATTTGTTTAGAAAGTGAAAGGAGTTAATGAGCAACATATTCTAGACATGATGGGGTGGCACCTGACTGCTGCTGCTTCTTGCTCTGATCACCTCAGTAAATTGCATGAATATTTTTTGTGAGTAAAAATCCATCATGGGGACCACTAGATGGACTAGAATCCTGATGAGGCCCCATTTGGTTCCAAGGAAGAATTCCTCTTGATACAAATATAAAGGTGTAGAGGGGCCAATCAGAATTGGGGGCACAGTAGGAAGAAAAAAGTTGAAGTCCTGAAACAACCTACCAGTGATAATCAGGAACCACCTCCCACCTGGATGCCTTTTAACTCCAAATAAATAAAGGAAGGAAGGAAGGAAGGAAGGAAGGAAGGAAGGAAGGAAGGAAGGAAGGAAGGAATTGTTAATCCTGTGAACTCATGTCTACTTTGGCCCATAGGTGCAGTTAAAGGTGTTAGCAAACTTTGCAGCCTGAGTGAATTAGATTCAAGCAATCACTTAAAGTTTCTAGAGTTCAAAAACTTTATCCATGCCGGAACTATTCACAAGATGAGTAGAGATGAGAGAGAGAGGAGGGGGGAAACCAGACATCCTGTCTCAACAAAGCTGGGGAAGTAGGGGCGTCTTACCCATAGAGGCTAGTGGTGTGGGGTGCTGGGGCGCCAAGTTCTGGAGGACACCAGGGAAGAGGTGGAGGCTGGATGTGGCACCTCCTGGCATCAGCTCACCACCCTAGCCCGCCTCCGCCTCACCCAGAGCCTCGCCCGGAGCCTCCATCTGCCGTGGCCACTGCAGCACAAAGTGGCCAGCTGAGCCAGGAGGTGCCATGTCCAGCCTCCGCCTCTTCCCCGCCAGCAGAGCTGCCCTCCAGCCGCTGCCCGCCTCCTCCAGCCCCACAGGCAGCACCGTCCTCCCTAAAAAACTCTGGGAAATGGGGTGGTGCCACCAGAGGGAGCTTTACACCATGACGCTGGATATGCTTAATACGGCCCTGTGGGGAAGGACAAACAAAATGGCTAAGCTTTTAGGGATGGAATTCACTTAGACAGAGAGGCTTACAAGCAAGTGCTGGTTAGATTGCTACACAAACAGTGGCATTGTGTGGGTTGAGGTAACAGATGCATTAATTACAAACTTAAGCGAAGGAAATGTATTTGCTTTTCTCCATCCAAAGGTTGGGCTGTTAATGCTATGTGGTTGTTTTAAATTCCACCTTATTTATCTGTATTACAGGAAGAGGTCAGTGAGCGAAATGCAAATGATGCATAATTTGGGGGAACACCTGCATTCGGCAAACAGGCAAAACTGGCTCCTTGAGAAACTGCAGACCGTGCACCATGACCCCCAGGCCAATGAAGCAGCAGGAGCAGTGGATGTTAAGGCCCGTGAGGTCCGAAGCTGGAGATTGCTCCCTGATGACCTGCAGGCAAAGCTGCAAAAGAAAGCAGTGGCTTCTAACAAAAATTATAGAGATGCCACCTTCAAAACAAGACTCCAGTGAGAGGGTCCATAGTGTTGTCTTTCCAGCTAAGTGCATACAGTAGTGAGCAATTAGGGCATTTTGTTATTTATTGTTTATAAAATGATGTTTAAGGGCATGTTTGCATGATGCTACTTCTTGGGGATTAGGTGTGCTTCTGCTGTACATCTCATTTCTCCTAATGTACATGTAAGTGGGGGTTCACACACTACTACTTCAGTTCTTCATATGGCTTACCAGGTGAATTGCAAGGCCGGTGCAAATTGAGCAGTCTACATTACTATCTTCCATTATTGGGGTAGGTGGCATGAGAGGGTCCCTTACCTCTCCAAGGATATCCCCTACACTTCTTGAGTGCTCTACTACTGAGCCTGACACATTGGTCTGCTGCTGTAAGGACATGTCCAAATGAATGAAGAGCATGTATTGCCCAAGCCACTCATTTGGATCTCCAGATGGAGGCAACACAGACAAGCCAGTTGGATCCATTAATCCTCTGGCAGGGTAAGCTGGTGCCGGGACCCACCCGTTGCCATCTTCTACCCTGCTTGTTGAAATAATGCAGTTTGTTGCCTTCTCCTGGCGGTTAGGAAAGGGAGTAGTGGCATGGAGAAGTCCAGGCATCAATTTGGGATGTTACAGTCCCTGTCTTAGTTTCTGGGAGATGGTAGCCTCCTGTATCCAGGCAGGCAGTAGCTGTGGAGATCTGGTTTCACTCCCATCTCTCATGGAGACAGTAATGTGAATCAGCACAGTGTTTGCGTCTGTGTGTGTGTGTGTGTGTGGAAGATGGCACAAAAACATTGATTTGGAATTGTCCCCATTCTTAATACACAGTCACTGGTAAAGTTTGAATAGCTTAAGAAATTGACAATGGTTTTTATCCAGAAACGAGTAGTCGTCCTGCAAAGGTACCATACATTTCAGTAAGTCTCCAAATGTGCTAAACTAAGGGCTCGTCCCACCACTTTCCCATGGGACAAACAGCTGTTTGCCGCTGAATCAGAACAAACGTCCATTGGTTTTTCTGTGGATTGGCGTTCTGATTCAGTGGTAAACAATGGGTTTTCCCAGAGAAAGCAACGGAGACAAGCAAAAGCAGCAGAGACCTGATTGGCTTTTGGATTGGCACCAATGCAAACTGACGAAGGGCTTTTGGGGAGACATGGGAGATTCAGCAAACTCAGATTGTAAGATAAATGTGCACAGCAGAACCAAATCAGAAGGGACATGTGTTCTGATACCTGTAGAGTATGCTAGCTTGTAAAATATTTAAGCTCATAGGCTCAAGTTAAGTTATCAGCACTTTATTTCATAAAGCCATATGGAAAGAAGCAGCACGCTCATGGAGCAGACTAAATCTAGTTGAACTGTCATTCCCTCTTCCTGGGGAACTCTGAGAGCAGTAGTTCTGGTGGAGAGTCTAGAGCTCTCTTGTAGAAACTTCTCTCGGTGCCACACCAAACTACAGTTCCCAGGATTCTTTAAGTCAAACCATGGCAGTTAAGCTGGCATAAAACAGATATTAGTATAGATAGGACTTGAGACTTGGACGCACCACATGAGTATATGGAGCGCAGTATGAGGATGTGATGTGCTGCCACATTCATTGCAAGTCCCGTGCACCTTTCCTTCCGCATGTACAAAGGCTTCTCCAACACCAGGGTGGATGTTTGTAGCCCTTGCTTATGCAGAGCCCAAAATGTGCTTCTGAGCACCTTACCTGCAAGTAAGTGTGCTTTGAATCAGAGCCTGGCACCCAGATCTGAAACGTATTTCCCTGGGAACCCCATTCAAGTCAAAGGAAGTACATCTACATAAATTTGTGAGGCTGCAATCCTACGAATTCTTGCTTAGTGGAGACTTGCTCTGAGTAAAAATGCACACAATCCTACGCTGTAAGGGGAAAACATCAGGGACACATCATGGGGCTGCCCAAATTGATTCAGGACTGGAGATGCAGATGGTGCAAGATTTGAGACGGAGGCCATTATCTTGCAGATTCTCGGCAGTCACAAACTTCCAGTTGAATATGTTAGTTTCTTTTTCACGTGAGACCTAAGGAAGATCAGACACTGCTACTCTGCACTGGCCTAATCCAGTATGGTTGCTTTTATGTCTGTCTCACCTGTTTGTACGTGTGGCACCTCATGCATTTTGCAAGAGTTGGTGAATAAATAATAAATGTCAAAACACATCTGCCATTTTTAGACTAGAAGTGTATTTGCAAATAGCGAGCTGACATTCATTATATCTAGACAGCAAGGAAAATTCTGGCCCCCTTTAAATCAGTGGCAAAGCTACAAATCAGGGTCAGAATATTATCTTGGACCCCTACTAAAGACATGTTTCTGCAAACAGACAATACATTACTACAGACCCTTGAACCTGCAGAGAACTGCATTCAAATGGCATTCCATGTGGGAGCAAGGTTCTGACATGAGATAGGGTATGTTTGTGGGACTAAGACCTTAATATGCACTTTCTATTTATTATTTTGCTGTATGTTCATGTCTAACTTACACAAATGTATCTTTAGTCCTTTATATCTGTATCTTGCTAATGAATTGTCAAATAAAATGGACCAAAAGCTCTTGGACAGTAGTAGTTGAAAAGCATAAACCTTTGGTCTTTCTGTCATTATTTATACATGCACTTTCTCATAATTTCGGAAAATAAAACTATTCAGCTGAACCCACAGTTAGTTGAACCAAGTTGTCATTGAGATCAGTTTACTACCATGGCAGGGGGAGAGATCAGTATGAAAAATTAGTTTTGACTAAGTTCCTATTCAACTCAGTGGGGATAGGTTCAACTAACTTAGGGATGACTTCATCATTGTGCTAATGTCTTAATTGAAGCAGGGCAAGCATTTTGGCTTGCTAGATGAAACAATCTTCCCTCTCCACCCCCTGTAAGCTGTTCTGAAGATTCTCCTGCCCCCTCCCCAAGCCAATTTTGGTGGACATGGAAGGAGAGGAGAGGGGTGAAGTCTCACTGTGCAAGTGGAAGTCCACTGATGGGAGTCACTAGTTGAATCCCACCTTCATTCTGGACCCACCCTACTATATTTAGTCAGTAAAGCATGAGACTCTTAATCTCAAGGTCTCTGGTTCGAGCCCCACATTGAGCAAAAGATTTCTGCATTGCAAGGACTAGATGATCTTCGTGGTCCCTTCCAACTCTACGATTCTATGATTCTAACAAAGTATTTATGTTAACCTGGAAACAGGAGAAAAAACATGGTGGGGGGAGCAGGGATAACTCTGAGAGGACAAGCTCCCCCTGTAACATGTTCAAATGCTGGGAAGAAAACACCAAGTGCACGGTTTTCCATTTGACAGTTGCAGCTCAAGCTGTGGCCCCCTACCGGGGTGAAAATGGTGCTCTGCTACTCGCAATGACAAATATGCATCTGTTTGTGACCAGTCCAGTCTCATCTGTTTAAGTTTATTGCAATGACACCATGAGTAGAACTAAGAGACAACAATGGAAATTTTTTACTGAGCACCACAATGTCTGTAATTACTTGCAATGCATAACAGCATGTTCTAGCATTATATTTTGATGAGTTAATTGTGGGGTTTTGCGTAGGCAGAGAGAGGCGGCCTATCTGCAGTGTCTATCCTACTCCCTCCTTATTGACCTAGCCATATTTTGATTTGGTATCAAGACGAGAGTTTGGCCCAAACCATGCCACTTTTTTGGCCCAAACGAAACAAGATATAACGGATAAGAATAAGAAACATCTCAACAGTCCTGCCATTAGAGGTCATTATTAGAGCTGGAAAAAATAAAGGTAATCATTCAAGGACTTTGCTCCCATAGTGATATTATCTTCAGGCAGAACAGACAGATGATTAAGCTTTTCAAACAAAGCAGGAGCCCTAAAGACAAAGTCACAAGACCCATTTTTAGCTGGCTTAGTCTGCTAGCGGGGGACCAGCAGTGCTAGCATGTGGAGAAATCTTTTAAGTTTCACAGGGCACTTTCGGATGAGAGCTCATTGTAGGATCAGTGCTACTTATGCACACAAGTTATTCACAGCATCCATACAAGATAAATAAAAATGCCAGCTAGTATTCCCTTCACCCCAATTTAGTTTCCCCTTACCATGGAAAATTGGGTAACTAAAAATAACCTCTTTTACATCTGCAGTCACTGCTGATGTGGCAGCTTCTTAGCATATTATTTTTGTTGAGCAGTTTGCACCAGTGTGGTGACGTTTCAGTGGGTGGCCTCCATTGCTGCACTCCAAATTCCATTTGCTTCTCAGCTGAGCACAACCTACCCATTTTGTTTCTGGTGACACAAGCAGGCTACCTAAAGTTGCTGGTGGCTGAACCTTTGACCTTTTGCATGCAAAGCATGCATTGTACCACTAAGGTAAGCTCCCTACCAGATACATGCTCTGCCCTTCCAAGTAACCATGCATTGAACTGGACTACAAATCAGAAATCAATTATGGCAGGAGTAGGAGTGGCGGTTATGTGGAACTAAGCTTTGACTTAAGGGCCCCCAGATGTTGCTGGACTACAAGTTCCATCAGCACTGATCCTTGGCAGTGCTGGCTGAGGCTGATGGGAACTGGAGTCCAACAACATCTGTAGGTTCACAACTTGCAAAACCCCTGACATAAGAGCAACTTGTTGAGCTCACTCCCTCCTTCGGCAATCTTCGCGGAGCTCTGGCCCAATGGTTGCCAGTGGTTTAATTTGAATTAATTTTATAATGAATGATTTTAGAATGTTGTGTTGTACTGTTGTGCTGTTTTATTGCTGTTAGCCGCCCTGAGGCCGGCTTCGGCTGGGGAGGGCGGGATATAAATAAAATTTATTATTATTATTATTATTATTATTAAGGCCAACTAGATAGCCACCTAGGGCACAGACCTCAGAAGGAGCACAGTACTGACCTTTCATGGGCACAGTTTTTGTTACATCTTATAAATTTCTTATTTTTAATTTTTTTATTTTGAAGAATTTTATCGTTTATGAAGTAATTAGTAGATTAGAATTAACTTGTGGGCTGCAGGAGTGATGAGGGTTTTCAACAAGTTTTGATAGATGCTACTGAGATTGCAAAGGAAGTAGCAATACTACCAAACTTTTGAGAAAGAACAAGTTAGAAAGAGGAGAAAGAAACAGCAGTTTAAATTTGTGGCCCAAGAAAAGGCATTGCAAGATCCGAAGCAGATATCCAAAGTTAGGTTTCTGCTATGCTGTCTCATGACATGACCATAACAGTCTGTTGAAAACAGATTCCAAACAGCCACCACATTTTAATTCCCTATTGGCTTCCTCTGTGATATATACAGTATCAACAAAAAAATCAACTGAAGATGTACTGAAGGCCTACAAGAATTAGGAGAAATCACTGATGCTCAATGGAAACAAAGATATGGATGCTGAAGATCTGTGCTGTGGACCTATGCAGCAATAGCTCGAAAAGTTTCAGAGTCTATGCTGCTACAAGGAGCACTTCTCTTCATACTGCAACAAAAACTCCTGGATGATGTGCTTAACGTTTATAAAGTTTTGGATTTGAGAAAGATCATCAAAGTTTGCTGTTTCACCGATTCTTGCAATTCAAAATAAACTTAGCAGCTTCAACGGTTGTGCTTTTCATTTCTTTTTCCTGCAAGACATCTGTTTCTGAAAACTGAAGTTAGCATATATGTTTTTTGGGCTGGGGAGGGGATGTGCCAGTAGTTAGCCTTGCCTAGGGTGCCAAATAGCCCGGCCCCGGTCATGCTTACACACGGGCCGAGCGTGTTAATTATTATTATTAACAATAATAATAATAATTATACCCCGCCCATCTGGCTGGGTTTCCCCAGCCACTATGGGCGGCTTCCAGCAAAATATTAAAATACGATAAAATAAAATAAATGAAAGAAGCGCCGTCACAATCCTCCACTGATGCCCAATTCTCGGGGGACGACCGTCCACTTGAGCAGATTCGGGAAAAGGACGGGAGGAAGGAGGAGGAGACGTCGCTGCAGAGGAGCGGGGCGAGAGAAGTGAGCGCCGAGGGGCGACGATGCCGCCGCTGCAGCCACCACTTCCTCGGAACGCGGCAGGCGCCTGCAAGAAGAGCCGGCCGCCGCGGAGCAGCCAACCCGCGCCCACCTTCCCGCGCCTCGGAGCCAAGCCGCCCAAAGCAGCAGCAGCCTTCGCGCGGTAAGCGAGCTTCGCGCTCTCCACCCGCTTCTCCTCCCTCCCTGCTGCCAGGCGACGCCTCGCGAGCTTTCCGCGCCTACCTCTCGCGAGAGCAGGGGGCAGACGGCCGGCCGGGGCCTAGTAGCAGCGACAGTTGCCGGCTAGAGGCAGCGGCGGCGGCGGCGGCGAGGGGGAAGCGCGGCGAGGCTGGAGCCCCGGCGTCGTGGGGCGCAGCAGGTGAGGAAAGTGGGAGGGCGGCGGGAGGCCCTTTAAGCTCCCCCCCGGGGGTTGGTTGGGGCAGAATGGGAGGGTCGGGGAGACGGTGGTCGGCAGGCAGAGGCAGGACAGCGGGCGGCGGCCACCGGTTTTCTCCCACAGAAGCGAGTCTGGGCCGGAGATCCGAAGCGTCGCTGTGGCGGCCAGGTCGGGGCAGGTGGGCGCTGCTCGTCTGTGCTGGCGGAGGGTGGGTGGCAGTTACCAGGGAGGTCTATAAAATGAGGAGGGTCAGCGGTTGTTGGGAAGCCGGGTACGTGTGGCGGTGGGTGCCGCGTGGTATTAAGGTACGTTTGTGTGTGTACACGCGCATACCTGACTGTGTGTGTGTATGCGTGACGCGCGTCAGATGCGCGTGTATCTGCGTCTACCTGACAAGTGCGGCAAGACAGGTTTCTCTAGGAGGGGGGTATCTGTTTTAAAACCCATGTGGACCACAAAGAGTTGCGAGGAAGGAAGGGCGAGATTGAGGAGGAGGTGGTGGTGGTGGTGGTTGTTATTTATTTTATTTATAGGCTGTTTACGGCCTCGTTCATGGTGATTCCCAGTACCCAGTGCCCCCTCCTTTCCTCTCCTGGTGCTCTTACCGTTTTCACCGACGGGCTTGTTGGGCGTATGGCTGCTCCCACAGAAGTGCCTTGTCACGGGTAGCTCACCTTTGCCCCCTTCTTTGCCACATCCTGCCCTTCTGGAAGGGTGTTGGGGGGCATATTGGGGAAAGCCCGGGATGAGGAGGTGGAGAGGTTGTGTTGGGGGGGGGAGTTTTAAGAATACAATGCTGCACTCAAAACAGTTGGACTGTTTTGAATTTTTTAACGGAAAACAGATTTATGGGAAAAGTTGCCTTGTAATTTTCCCAATATATGTGCTGCTCTTTCTGTGGTTTATTCTGACTTTGGTGTTCTAAAGAGATCAGGCTTAAAATATTTCTAATGTTTACTTGGGAAGATAAGGGATGTTGTTTGTGCCACAAATCATTTACAGTGTCGTTTGTAGTTTTTTTTCTTATTACTATTATTAGAGTTGGCTACCAGTACAGGAGAATGCAGTTGGGTCCAGTAATTCCAGTATCCCCATATCTGTCACATCACTTGTTCCAGACTTATCATTTATTCTTTGATCCTTGTGTCATTCATGTAAGTCAGTTGGTGCCACTGTTTTTGTTTAGTA